GACATGTGTCCCTTTCTGCACACGCGCAGGGCTCTTCTGGGAGCTTGTGGGAAGTGTGTAGCACAAGGAAACCATGCATGGGTGTGAGCACTTTTTACACCAAAATAAACTCATACTTCAATTGTATTTCCCATGAAATCTTTTTGTTTTGTTTTCTTTTTTTTGGAGAGGTTTTTACTATAGGGCACGTGCGCTCGCCAGACAGACAGACAGAGACAGAGAGACAGAAAACGAGAAATCACCCCCCAGGGGGGATGGTCATGCCGCAATCCCTTCTCCTCCATTCTCCTCTTGGGATCTTGGGCACGCATGCACACGCGCCCAGCGTGGGTTTTAAGCCACTGGGTCCGGGACGCGAACCACGGTTGACTACGTGGGAGTCCAGCCACATAGCCATTACGCTAACTGCTGGTCCCTCCATGAGCTCTTCAAAGCCCCCTCATATTTGCATTCAAAACCTGTGCTAAGAAGGGGGGGCAGCAGATGGCTAATGGTTATGTTGCTGGACTCTTACATAGTTGACCGTGGTTCGAGTCCTGAACCTGGCAGCTTAAAACACGCTGAGCGCATGTGTGTGCATGCATGCCCAAAGTCCCAGGAGGAGAATGAAGATGGGATTGCAGTGTGGCCACCCCCCAGCCCCCCCGGGGGGGTGATTTTTCACTTTCTATCTCTGTTTCTCTTCGGTGAATGTACACGCCCTATCGCAAAAAGAGAATCTCCTTCTAAAAAGAGAAAGAAAGAAGAGGAAGCCAGCAGGAGGTCTGATCATAAAGGTGCTGGACTCCCACGTGGCGAACTGCAGTTTGAGTCCCAGATCTGATGGCTTGCTTTCTCAATTTTCCTCTCTATCTCTCTAGTGAGCACATGTGCTCTATAGCAAATTAAAAAACATAATAATAAAAAGGACCAGTAGATGGCATAATGGTTATGTCGCTGGACTCCCACATAGTTGTTTGTGGTTCAAGTTCCGGATCCAGTGGTTTAAAACTCATGCCAGGTGCGTGTGTGTGTGTGTGCCCACGATCCCAAGAGAAGAATGAAGGAGAAAGGATTGTGGTGTGGCCATCCCCTCTGGGCGCTGATTTCTTTCTTTCTCTCTGGCAAGCACACACACCCTGTAACAGAAATCTCTCTAAAAAAATAAATAAAAACATAATAATAATAATAAATAAAATTAAGTAAATAATAAAAAAAGAAGGGGCCAGCAGATGGCACGGTGGTTAAGGGTGCTGGATTCCCACATGGCCGACCACAGTTCAGATCCCAGACATGGTGGCTTACTTTCTCACTTTCTCTCTCTCTCCTCTCTCTCTGTCCCTCTCTGGTCAAATTAAAAATAAAGAAATAAAGTTAACTAAAAACAATTAAAACTTAAAAAAAAAAAAAAAGAGGATGAAATGAGAAGCACAAAATTACGGTATAGACCCCAGGGTTAGACCGCCCCAGATCAAGTCTCTTGTGAGCTGGTGACCTTGGGCAAGTCGATCGTGTGTCTCGGTTTTTCTGTCTGTAAAAAGGGGGGATTATAGCAGTGTCTGCCTTGTTGAGCTGTTATGGAAATGAAATGAGGCCATTTGTAGGTGTCTGGAACAGGATGTAGGATGCAGGAAGGGAAAAGAACTCAATGTTCATTTCGCTCTGTAAATCCTGAAACCTGTTCTGGAATGGACCTTGAGGAGTCGCTGGGGGCTCGCCCCCATGCACAGTGTTGTCATGAGAACAGACACTAACAGTCTGGCGTGTTGTCCGGTTGACTTCGCCACCAGGTGCACGCAGCTTTGCTGTCAGGGAGAGGGTTCTGAAACGGGGAGCCAGTCTCGCCAAGGTTGTGAGCAGAACCTGTTCTTCAGATTACACAGTGGCTGGCCTCCTGGAGAATTCAGCATAGTAAAACTTTTGTGGGGACCAGCAGTTAGCGTAGTGGCTATGTTGCTGGACTCCCATGTAGTCAACCTCTGTTCGAGTCCCAGACCTGGTGGCTTAAACTCATGCCAGGTGCATGTGCGTGCATGCCCAAGATCCCGAGAGGAGAATGGAGGAGAAGGGATTGCGGCATGGCCATGCCCCCTGGGGGGTGATTTCTCGCTTTCTGTCTCTGTCTCTCTCTTTCTGGCGAGCGCACACGCCCTATAGCAAAAACTTCTCCAAAAAAAAAAAACCATTTGCATTTATACAGAAACAGCTGGGTAAGTACAAACTGATGTCGCAGCCAGGGATGTCCAGTGGGTGTTGGGGTCCTGCGGGGTGCAGGCAATGCTGTAGTTGCAGAAGGACCTCTGTGTCCTGTCGGCACTGGTCTAGTCTCAGCAACATCCCTGCAAGTTCCTGAGACATACTCTAGGGGTCAGCACTACCCGCTTAATACAACGCCCTTTCTGGAATTCTGCATAGACAGTCCGTCCTCATTACTCATGGATTCAGCCTTTGTGAACTCATCTACCTGCTAAATCTGTAACCCCAGATCAGTCCTCCCGGTGCGGCAGGTCTGTGTAGAACCGGGACATTCTGAGTTGTCCAGTGCACGTTCGACAGGGACGGACGAGGTGCCACTCTGCCTGATGGTTTCGGCTCTCGCGCTGTAAACCAACGCCCTTTTCATGGTCTATTTAGTGCCACATTTTTCACGTTTTTGTGCTTCCGTGTTGGCAATTTCACCGTCTACAGTGGCCCGAGCCTGGTGCTTACGTGCCGCCCAGTATTCCTTAGAGCCAGAGGGTAATGATGTGCCTCCCAGAGAAAACATGAGGTGGGCTTTAAAAAGTGGGTGGAAAAGTTGGAATTAAAGTATGAGTTTATTTTGGTGCAAAGAATGTTTGAGATGCATGCAGTTTTTCATTACATGAATTTTTTTTTGAGAGTTCTTTGTTATAGAGTCCATGTGCTCGCCAGAATGACAGAGAAACAGAGAAATAGAAAGCGAGAAATCACCCCTGGGGGATGGTCACGCCGCAATCCCTTCTCCTCCATTCTCCTCTTGGGATCTTGGGCACGCATGCACATGTGCCTGGCGTGATTTTAAGCCACCGGGTCTGGGACTTGAACCACGGTCAACTATGTGGGAATCCAAGACATAGCCATTATGCCAACTGCTGGTCCCATTACATGAGTTTTTTGAAGACCCCTCATGTGTGTGCGATGAGCCATTTCAGGACTGAGTTACGCTGCTGCTGGCCATGAGCTCAGTGGGGATGAACTGGCGGTGTGAGTGAGATGGACGGAAACACGTAAGACGAGGCACCAACTGGCCAGTCGGTGAGAACGTGCGACCAGAGGCACCCAGCCCTGTGTCCCCCCAGGGCGGTAGTTCGTGTCCACTGCTCTGGTATTCGAGGTGACTGCAGAACATAACTAGCACAAATCTGGAGAGTCTGTGTATGCTCAACAGAGAGAGAGGGAGACAGACAGAGACAGAGGGAAAGTAAGAAATCACCCCCAAGGGGGAAGGCCACACTGCAATTCCTTCTCTTCCATTCTCCTCTTGGGATTTTTGGCACACACGCACATGTGCCTGGTGTGTTTCAAGCCACCAGGTCCGAGACTTGAACTGTAATTGGCCATATGGGAGTCCCGCACCTTTACCATCATGCCACCTGCTGGCCCCCAACAGGGTCTTGATACTCCTCCACCCGTAACCTTAGGCAGTCCCGGATCATAAGCACATGTGTGGCTGGCCTGCTCAGGAAGGTCTCTGGCGTCAACCTGGGCGCTGCCTCACGTGGTTCTGCCTCTCGGAGCGCCCTGTTTCCCCAGGCACCACCGTCCAGACCCCGTGGTAGGTATTTTGGACGAGTTCTCAGCATGTCTCCGTCCTCCTGCCCCAGTCCTCCAGTCAGGTGGGCTCACGGATGTGCTCAGCCTCTCCTAGCATGGTCAAGATGACTTGGGAAACGAACCTGGGCCTCCCATGCAGCTTCCACCTCCCCAGCAGAAGCAGGACCTGGGTGCCACCCTGGCTGCTCCTGCCTTGGGATTTTTTGTTTGCTTTTTTTTTTTTTTTTTTTAATGAGAGATTTTTGCTATAGGGCGTGTGTGGTTGCTAGATAGACAGAAAGTGAAAAATCACTCCCCATAGGGGATGGCCACACCGCAATCCCTTCTCCATTCTCTTCTCGGGATTTTTTTTTTTTCTTTCTTTTTTTTTTTTTTGGAGAGGTTTTTGCTATAGGGCACCTGCGCTCGCCAGACAGACAGAGACAGAAGGCGAGAAATCACCCCCCGGGGGGATGGTCACGCCGCAATCCCTTCTCCTCCATTCTCCTCTCGGGATCTTGGGCACGCATGCACACGCGCCCGGCGTGAGTTTTAAGCCACCGGGTCCGGGATGCGAACCGTGGTCGACTACGTGGGGTTCCAGTGACATAGCCATTACGCTAACTGCTGGTTCCCTCTTCTCGGGATTTTGGGGTGTATACATACTTGCCTCTAACGTGAGTTTTAGGCCTCCGGGTCCAGGACTCAAACCACAGTCGATTATGCGTGAGTCCAGTGATGTAACCATTACACCATCTACTTACTGGTCCCACCTTGTTTTTTTTTTTTTTTTTTTTTTCCCTTTTTTATTTTT